AAAAAAAAAAAAAGAAAAAAAAATAAAATAAGAGAAGTAAATGAAAAAAACTTCTCAAACATAGAGCTTAGTTCCACTATCCTTTTCACAATCTCAGTTGCATGCTTAAATTACTGCAGGTAGCTGATAACCCATTAATAAGCACTAGTCACATGTTTTCCCAACAACACAAATTCTGAATATATATTAACAGTAGGCTACAAAAAAGAACCAAAGCAGTTTAGACTGAAAATTAAGTTGCTTTACACTAAAACTTTGCATACATTACTTGAGAACTCGAAACTCAATTCATCTTTTTGCTATGAAAAGTCTTTTAGTACCCTCAAGTTTTACACTTCATCCTAGAGCAGGGTTTCTCAACCTCAGCACTACTGCCATTTTGGGCTGGATAATGTGTGGGGGGCTCTTTTTTCCCCTGTAGAGATGGTTAGCAGCATCCCTAGCCTCTACCCACTAGATGAGAGCAGCACGGTCCCACCAGTCATAACTATCAAAAATGTCTCGAGACATCACCAATGTCCCCTGGGGGACAAAATCACCCCCAATTATGAACCACTATCCTAGAAAAATGTCAGCCAATAACCAACCATATTTGGTCTGTGCTGGAGACTCACATGCAGAAGTGAAGGCAACACGGCGATTCACGGGGAGGGAGGGTCAAAATGAAATGAAATAGTACCCCCTTCTCTGTGGGGAAACATTCCAAGACCCTCAGTGGATGCCTGAAACCATGGATAGTACCGAATGGTACAGAGACTATACTTTTTCACATACACGCATACCAGTAATAAAGCTTAATTTATAAATTAGGCACAATAAGAGATCAATAACAGTAACCAGTAGTAAAATACAATTATAATATATTATAATAAGATTTATGTGAATGTGGTCTTTCTCTCAAACTCTTACTGTACTGTACTCACCTTTCTTCTTATGATGATGTGAGATGATAAAATGACTACTTACCGAGGTGAAGTGAGGTAAATGATGTTGGCCTGTGAATGTAGCATTAGGCTACTAATGACCTTCTGATGATAAGGCAGAAAGAGTATCCTCTGCTTTCAGACTGTGGTTGACCATGGGTGATCAACCATGGAAAATAAAACCACAGACAAGAGGGACTACTATAGGTATAAAACAATGTGCTAGAAGTATTGCAACCAAAGTACTGCTCAGGCTCCATGGGGAACATGTAAGAGTAACAAAAAATCCAGGGAGGGCACAGGGAGAAGGGAAGAAGAGCCACCACCTAAAGCTGAATGCTAAGTGTAAGTTAATCAGGCAGAGAGAAGAGCAAGCATGTTCCAGGGAAAAGGAACAGGAGGAGCACTAATAGGAGGCCAGAGAGAACACAGCACATGCAGGAAAACCTACAAGCAGCACTAAGAGAAAAGGTTGCACGAGAACCGTGCAAACCATAGCAGGGCATCTGGCTTTAATCTGAGGCCGTGAGGGAACCACTGGCAGTTTCCACAAGGACTAACAAAATCAGATGTTAATATGGAGTGATTATCCAAACCACATTCTGAATAACAGACTCTAATATGGGAGAGGGAAGGTACTAAAGCCTGCCAGTGGGAAAGCAGCTAGCTAGAGGGTCTTCATAATCAAAGCAGAAAGCAGAGGATGTGAGTGGGAGTAAGAACAGGAGAGGTGCACTTGAAAGAAAATGAGGGCAGAGATGTAACTATACTTGAGGATTCTTACACGTGAAAAATCAAAGTGAAGGCAGACTCAAAGAAGACCCCAAGCATGTGTTTGGGCAACAAAAAAAATGTGCTCACCCAGAAAGGGATTTGAGGAAATAATCTGGAGAGGGGTAGCTGCTAATATAATTTGGTTTTGATATGTTAAGGTTGTGATGTCTATGGAATAGCTGAGGTAAAATTGACCAATAGGCAGTTGTCTTTACGGGTCTGGAGTTTTAATAAAGTCATGTGGGATTCAAGAATCATCAAAATAGAAACTGAATGAAAGTATGTGAGTTGGAAAAGACTGTCGCTGGAAATTCTGTAAAAGTGAGAAGAGAAGGTCCAGGCTGGAACTGTGGGAATGTTATCAACATTTAAGCTGAATTCAGATGAAAAGAGACAGAAAAGGGTTTGGGATTTGAGAAAAAAGTGATTGCACAGATATAAGAAACCTATGGGACCTTGGAAATTGTGTGCTATGAAGAATAAATAGGGAAAAATGGTCCAGTCACTTTGGAAGACCGTTGGAGATTTCTTACTAAATATATTCTTACCATACAACCCCACAATCACACTCCTTGGTATTTATCCACAGGAGCTGTAAACTTATGTCCATGTAAACACCTGCACACAGATATCTAGAGCAATTAATTACTCATAACTGCCAAAATATGGAAGCAACTAAGATGTACTTCAGTAAGTGAATG